CATTTCTTTGAGGTATTTTCAACTTGATTTTAATAATTATTTTGCTATTTTAATGAACTAAAGTACAAAGAATTATGAAATGCTGAATGAGAATTTAGCACCGGAAATATTTTTTACCCTTTTACTTTTTGGATTATAGTACTATGAATAACAAGGATGGTTTCAGCTGTTCATCCCCGAAGGCATTTTAATATCTTGGTAGAAAGGCTCAGATGGAGAGGTCATAAAGTCATGTGAATTAAGGTGGGAAGCAATGAGACTGGAGCAATTACCGCTTTTAACTGCAAAGAAGGGATATTTGGATCTGCATGATTCTTTCCTCCAGCAAGACCAGCTACTTATTTCCTGTCAAAAAATGCATTAACTGGTATCTCAACCTTCCCATTATTCACAGGTTGCATGGAAGGAGTGAAATGTTTTAAATATGAATAACACAGGAGGTGAAATTGCATGGAAACTACAATAATTCTAGTCTAAAAAGAGATAATACAGGATCACAGCAATAACTCATCCAAGCACCTGATCTATCTAATACTAACCATTTAAAAATAATTTTTGGAAGAGCTGTTTGTTTTCCTGACAATAGTGTGAAAGCTATGCAAATACTATGATCACACATTTTGCCTGGTGTTGCATCGCAGTCCTTCAGAAATACATAAGAGATTTGCAAGCATACCTGGATGAGGATAACTCAATCACAGTTATTTATGGGCAAGGAACTTCCCGTGTTTTTGCAATGAGGTGTATGTAAGACTGCCTTTAAAGACAGCCCCAAAAACTACAGTAGGCCCAAAGAGAGCTGCAAGATCATCAACTGTGACTGGGTATTTATGTCATATTATGTCAATACTTTATCAGCTGCACTAACTCCCAGATTGTTTCTGGGAGCAGTTTACAATACTGCTTTTAATCTTTAAAACCATTAACTCATCATTCCCCAGATGTCCTTAGACTATAAATCCCATAACCTCCGGTCAAAAGCTCATAGGAGGCCTGCCAGCAGGACCTAAGTGCAAGAGCAACTCCCCTCCTGTAGTTTCCAGTAACTGGTATTAAGAAGCATACTGCCTTCGACCAGGGAGCATAGCCATTATGGCTAGTAGCCATTGATAGATTTATCCTTCATGGATATGCCTAATACTCTTTTAAAGCATAGGAAAAAAACTTCACATTTGGGAAGTTAAAATTTGGTTTACTTACAAAGTTTTCAAAGGTCTGATTCATGTGCTTTTCCATACAGCAGTCAGAAAAGTTGCACAGGCAGTTAAACTTACAAAAGTGGTAACAGTAGCTGTTGAGAGCCATGTGGCACAGCTCAAGCCTCTTCACGCATTGATCTTCCGATAGGGGGACAATAGGCTTGATTACCTATTTCCTCCCAAATATTAGATAGAAGCAGAGAGCTAAATATCTAGTGAAGGATTATAAATTAAGATTTAACCAAAAGTTAGCAAAGTCTCGATGAGTTAAAGAGTAAGGTTTCAACTCTGTATCTATTTACCTGATAGTAGCCTCCCCCACCCTGAACATAATGAGTCTGATACTATTTTTTTGAGTTAGGAATTGTCCACTTTGCTTGCTACTGAGACCCATTTTTCTTCTCCTGATCCCAGTCTGCAGGACCTTTCAATACTGAATCTCTTTGAAAAAATAAAATACTTTTCTTCATATGTGTCCTTCCAGACAGAGTCACACATAGTCTACTGTTTGATATCTGCCTGTGTTATTGGAATATTCTCCAGAGATTGTGACCTTCTTGAAAACAGATGCTGCCTTGCTTCACTGACTGCGCAATCCGCTGGTTTTATGAGTTGTTTTCTCATACAGAATCACTACAAACCGTTCTAGTAACACCGTAGTATTGTCATCCGTTTTAGGGCTTCTGTCAGCGTCAGAAATGCATCTGTGATGTCTGGAAATATAACGCATGTCCCAAAGTGACATTTTGCTTTTCCCAGCAAAGAACAAGGCCTCATCACACACATGAAGCCTAGCCAACTCTTTGGCTGCATTTTGCATGGTATTTCATGTACTGCAATGTACCTGTGCATTTGCCCACACCTCAGGCCATTGGAACGTGTTGCAGGCTGGGCACAATGATGGCGACAGTGTGGACAATTTTGTGCTGCAACCCTTCCTCCCCACCCTTTCCCCTGTGCTGAAATTGCAGGGTTTGTTGCAGATCCTGGATGAAAAAGAGGCTGATTACATTGAGGGTTAAATTTGGCAATGAAAAGGAAGAGCCCAGAGTGAAGACAGCATGCTAGCCACGATGGAGGCAAATTACTCCTGAGGGTAGCCTCGCAGCTGCATATTATAGTGGATTAAAGAGTGCTTTTCATGTACCTCAAAAAAAGTGTGCATGCATTATCAGGAAGCATTAGGGATCACATCAACCAAGCCATGTATCTGTGCTTTTCCAGGATAGAATGCAGACACTTGGAGCAGTCGGCTTGCTTTTTGCAACTGTATGATTTGCCAATTAAGTGCTACACTTGTACCATTACATAAAACATCATACAGTACACACTGTGCAGAAAGACATCTTGTTTCCGAGTGAAAGAGCCTGCGTAGGTATGTGAGAAAGTTCACATATTTAAAACAGGTTCAGGATTTTAATTCCACCAAAGGTTAAGATTTAGTATAGTGTTCGGATTTCCTCATTAGCTAATTTTTTTTGGAGGGGGTGAAAAGAAACGTAAGTGGGATGCAGTAATGGGTGATGATTTTGATTCCCCCCCCCCTTTCTGACAATAGGTTCAACTCCAGCATGTAGTGGTATTTCTAAGGAACAAGGCTACAAACTTCCCCGTGCTATGGCCCAGCCCTATGATTCTTTATGGCGAGACAGTGGTGCAGGATGAGGTGCAAAAGTCCCAATTCTTGGCAGCAGTTATACCCTTGCTTTTGCACTGCAATGTCTCCATCACAGCTGCTGTCATTCACAGTGCTGTGCTAGTGGTTGCTTCTCTTTTGCATGGTCCAGGTGTATATTGAATGGGTGTTGCAACAGTTCTGCTGGAGTGGGATGGAGGAGCGCAGCTGAACTTCACACTGTTGCATATGAAGGCCCAGAAGAGGAAAACACATAACCACCCAACAACTGTAGGTCACTTCCTACAGTGGATGATATTCTGTAGAAAGGAGAAGCACTTCTCAGTTTTTAAAACTAGACCTGTCATTTTCAACAGTGCTGGAACACCCTTTTCTAAAACAATAACATGCCGTTGAAGCGTCTTACAGGGTGTGGTGATTCTCAGAAATTGTGTTCCACATTAAGTAATAATCAAATCTGTAATTATACAGTGGAATCTCGGTTGTCGAAAGCCTTGGAAGCTGAAAAATTCGCCAACAACCCGGAAGTGAGTGCATCCGTTTTCAAACGATTTTCAGAAGCCGAATGGCTTCTGAGGCACGTTTTTCAATTTTTCCCATTGACTCTGCAGCCAGCCCTTTGATCCTCGGTTTTCAAACAGTCTTCCAGAACGGATTACATTCAAAAACTGAGGTTCCACTGTATATTGATTTTAATCTCAAAAGTATGTTTCCAATTTATAGATAGATGTTATGTATGTACCTCCTCACAATGAATTCCCCCCTCACTAGAAGCAATACAACATGTCTTCAACAGTTTGTTGGCATAAGAACACAATAGCTTTGCAATAACAGCAGGCTGGATAAAGGAGTACTTATCCTTCACACACTTAACTCCAGTCATGTTTGTTCACATCTCAAAAACGCAATAATCTGTAGTTAACATTTAAACCTGATGGTGCTTCTGCCTGCCTGGAACACAAAATGCATTCCAGTTTAGGAATCATAATAAGCTCTAATTCATTCATAATTTAAAGCAATATACAGCCTACTTAGCAAAAGATGCACATATATTGAAATGTAACTGTTTAAAAAGGAGGTGTTGCAGTCTACCACAGGGATAAAATGGCTTAAGCCTTGTCTCCCTTAATGCAAAGTATGTAGTATAAGGCCAATAATAAATACTGTATTCTTTTAATTTACAACACACATGAGCTATCCCCACCATTGTTAATGTTGTATTTTTAATGTGCAAGGGCCCCTCCGTGTACCTCAATGGGATTCTTTCAATTACTGATTTAATGTATTATTCATAAGTAGACTCCCTGATGTCTTAATGGAGGGGCAACCCATCCAATAGGTGACCTGGCATTTTTCACCCAGGGGAGATACTTTGCAAGGGACTGCAACATGAAGACAGCTGGATGGTTCTGCCTGACTGCTCAATTTCTGTCAGTCAAGAAGAATAAGGAAAAGGCCTTCTGGTCCAAACACTCATCTGCCTTTTGAATAAAAAGGTGCTGTTGCAGTGACTCCACTCAGAAGTCATTTTTGTGTGCGCGCAGTGGTTTGGTTAGCCTGCAACTCTCCATAAATTAGAGTCAAAGTTTTCCATTTTAGCTGGTTAGTAACTGATGAAAAATAAAAGGTGTCAGGGCACACATTTCTTCCTTCTGCCCATTGAAATGCTAAAAACGGCAGTCAATATCAGAGAGAGAAAACTATCCATTTTTTGAGGGTTTGCTCATATAAGTCTGTTCATTTTTAAGTATCTTGTCTAAAAGGTATGTGAACACTCCTAGGGAAACTGCTGCAAATGATAACTGGTGAAGAACCACCAATCTGCTAGGAAGTTATTTCTTCCGAATGCACCTTGCAGAGGATATTTTAACATAAAATTATATGTCAATTGTTTGATCAGAATTCCTCACTTGGCAAAATAATAGGGTTAAGTCCAAGTAGTGATGGTTGCCAACTTGAATAGCTAAAATAGGATTATAAAAATTAACAGAGAAAAAGGCTGTCAGTGACTACATGGTAGCTAAATTAATGAGGATGAAAGTGATGTATTTTTGCAGTTTGCAATTTAATTTTGCAAGCCAAAAGAATTAGGAATATATGTTACAGAACGTCATGGGTGACCATCACTTCTCTTTCAGAATCACAGCAGCAGTAATATCAGGCCGTTTTAATTAAAAATGTGCTTTATTTAACAAGTTCCGGTGTTATTAAAAACAAAATATATAAAATTTCCATTTACAACTGATGTTAAAAGAAGTATCAAGAGAGCAAAGGCCAGTACAGTTGCACATTTTCACCCCAATCCAATGAAGGAGTTTCTCATGTGGAAGCTCCATCATTTTCTAGACTGGAAAGCACATCTTACTGCATATCCAAATATGGATGTTGTCCATCAGCAAAAATTCCAGACTACAGCTGGACTGGATCACTGTTCCACAACCCCCTAAGCAATAAGGCTCACATATTTTATTCTCCAGGCTGAGTGTGGGCAACCTGTGGCCCTCAGCCAAATTTCAAGAAGCAGAAAAATATGGGGGGGGGGGGAGAATGGTGACTGAAAGAGAAAAAGGGGGAGAAAAAAGAGGGTGAGAAAAAAAGGTGGGTAGTTGGGAGGGAAAGGAGTGGCAGAAAGAGAAAATTAGTTGTCCCATCCATGTTATTCTGCTTTCACTTCTGGTATATGACCCCCAACGAACTACCATTGAGGAAATACAGTTTTTGACAAACAAAGGTTGCCCACTCCTTGTACAGTCCATTCTTGCCAACACATAGACGATGTGTTAATTGCTGTGGTAAGCACCACAACAATTATTTATGCTAATAACAGAGGGCCAGGTCTTGTCATGAAGTAGTGATCCTGTGAGCAAGTACTGCTGGGTGGGGCCCCTCAGGAAGGTGGTAACAATTAGTCCCCAAAGTGGGAGCATGTGATGGGGCTGGCTGGTTGCCAGCATTCCCCAGCCCCTATAAATCTTTGAATTAACCTGCTGGGGGGGGGGGGCGGGACATGCCATGTTTTAAATTTGTTGTTTGATGCTCTGTAGTTGGTGGAAGAGAAGATGTCAATAAAACCTGGAACCCGTTCAGTGCCTGTGTGCGATCGATTAGTAGCTTGGAGGGAGGACTTGGGAAAATGACCCCCTCCTTGACAGGGCTTACATTTATTTTTCATACACTGTCCAAAGAAAATCACACTGGACTCCAACTCCCATCATCCCTGACCTCTGGTCATGCTAGCTGTGGCTGGCAGGAGTTAGAGTCCCACATTTAAAGGCTACAGGTTCCCCGTCTCTGCTATAGTCTCATCCCCAGCTCTTTGAATTTCTTCAGCCTTGCCAACCCATATTCTTTCCAGCTCAAAACCAATGTCTACACTTGAGTGGTATGATTCCATTATACACATAGCCCTGAATATGTATCACACTCTTCAACCTACATGCAGTGTGAATGTCATCCCCCCCACTTTGATTATCTCCACCAGCAGGACAGATTCTAGGCTCCATTGACTTGACATTGTCTAAGTAATAAACATTTTCAATAACAGTTAAAAAGAAATACAGTTTTGGCCCTTTGATGCAAACCCTAGTGACATTTTTTCAGCAGATGCATGGTTATATTTTTAACAGCCAGCATGGTCTCTGTGCACGTTGGTTTAATTAGGGTCTCCGGCAGTAGAAATCCAAAATGACCTGTATCACGCAGCTCAAATGCAAACGCATATGGGATGCCATTTTTGTATGCCCAATCCATAGAACTGCCAGAACTCACATCTGGAAAAAGGAAGAGGAAGGAAAAAATAACAATTTTAAGTGATGTGTATGAAAGGACATGCTAGTTCCACAAGTTTATATTTTAAGTTGTTTTTCTAAGCAACTCCAAAGGCGCTAAATGTCCTCAAATCCAGAGATGCCGAAGAGAAAGAAGCTTTGCAAGGTGGACTAAAATTTGATCCAAAAACAGTTTCATCAGCTCTCTTTTCCCTGATTCTGTAGATGTATGTAGCACAGTGAAAATGCCTATATTGCAGGTGGGGCAAGAGGGAGTCCTTCACCTTGCTGCACTATATCTGCTTTGTAATTGAGTTCAAACTGCTGACTACTAAGGCAATTTTGTGCTGGCAGACCTGGTTCTATCAGCTTGCAGTGACCTGAGACAGTCAGCCCATCTTCATCCATTTCTATGCTGCTTCTTAGCACTGCATGATACTGGACTGGCCCATTTGACAGTACTTCAACTCAGAGGACCAGGGTTGAAGTAATTAATTTTAACTCTAAAGAAGATCTACATATTACACAATGGAAAACAAAACAGCGCGGATAACATTCTCTACTTTCTCCTTTCACAAAGGTTTCAACTTGCCTTGTGTGTAAGACGATACATGGAAGTTTATTTTCTAAGATCAGGCTCAAGGAAAGGAAAGGCTAGGAAGAAAAACTTCCCTACAATTTACTAACAATGCAATCCTATGCATGTCTAGTCAGATTTAAATCCTACTGAGTTCGATGAAACTTACTGCCAGCTAGGAATGGATAAACATGTCACTTTCAGTTTCTCATCTTTCTAGCCTTAGCTCCAGTTCTCCACATCTCCATTTCATGGAAATCGATCAGCATTTTTCCTGTGAATTTCCCTCACTATACACATTTTATATTCAGTTTTGCGCTCTATACACATATTTGCAATGCAGTTTCCCCATATGCATTCCAGCATGCTATTTTCACTAATATATGCATTTATATGCAAACTTTAGTATATGCATGTTTGTACACATTACTTGGCTGGAGAACTGCCCTGCAAATTTGGATAACTGCAAATTTCAATAGCCTTTTATATGTTTTCAGCAATGTGTGTTTTATCTGTATTTGTTCTAATTTTTGTGTTCCACATCGAGTCCCAGTTTTGAGCAAAAGGAGGGATGTAAATATTATTAGAACAACAATAACAACAGCAACAAACTGTGAAGAATGGATATGGTTTGCATAGTGTTTTGAAAAGTGTGAATCAGGAAAGATCATCTTTAAGCGTCAACTGTATCAAATCCCCCACTTCCTGCTCCCAGGTAAATATGTACAGAACTCCAGCCTTAATCATAACATTTCTCAAGAAGAACATTAATCCCTGTCGCGAGCTGCACTCAGCTTGCTGTGGGCTAGAAGAAAAAAGAACACGCTACCTCCCACATTTCCACTGGTGCTGAATGAGTGAAGTGCAATTCTTATTTGTTGTGCTTTCCCACACTGAAGTACTGAATTAAACAAGGGTTGAATGGTGCAATCTGCGGCTAACTACAAGCTGAGCACTCCCACTATAGTCTTCATTAACTATAACAATATCTTTTTAAAATCTATTTTTTAAAACAACTTAAAAACCTGACATGGCATGGCAGTTGCTGTGTGGCTGAAAACAGCATGAGGAAGCATGTTGTTAGAAGTTGGGGCAAGGCGGGGGATGCTTAACCAAACATCCAGTTGGTATTAAAAAACAGAAAAGGCTGCAATCCTATACCCACTTACCTGGCAGTAAGCCCCCTGAACTCAGTGGGAGTTACTTATGGGTAGATGTTTATAGGATTGTGGTGTTGGTTGCCTTAGGGAATGAAGTGTCCTGTTAATACTTTGTCTAGGAAACCGGTGGCAACCTGTGGCCTTACGGATATTGTTACACTTTTAATTTTCATCAACCCTAAGCAAACAGTCAGGGAATTGTAGCCCAGTGGTATCTGAAGGGCCACAGATGCCCTGGTCCTTGGGCTATGCTCACACCACTTTTCATTTTGTACCACTAAATTTTCAGTAGATTGAAGAAAAGCATTTATTTCTCTCTGCATTCGTTCTTCCAAAGTTTCAGATCAGAACAAACTAAACGAGTGAAGAATATATTCCTTTGCTATATAAAGCTGCCGGATTTCTTTTGTCTATCATAGTTGTCTGGAGACTTCCATTCAGGCTCTGACAGTTATTGAAAATTCAGACTTTAAACATCCCAAACTCCGCTGGGAAGATGAATTTTTAATATTCTGTAAAATATTTCCCTGTTGAAGATATTTTACTTTGGTTTTTTATTGTCTTCAAAATGATTGTGATCTAAACCCAGAATTCAAAAAGAACATAACCCAAAGTCTGAGCGAATTCTCAGTACATCAATATTCTCTACAAATATGTGATAAGAGACAACCCAGACATCCTTGTAAGCTCAAAATACATATGCCCTGATCAGCAAAAGAGATCCGTGCAAGGAAGCATTTTTTTCCTGTAACCGACCCACATTCAGATACGTGTCTGGATGCCCATCCATGCTGTGGTCCTCATTCAGACACCACTGAATGGGCTGAATGTCCCTTTAGATGAATGGGAATTCAACTTGCACCATCAACTGTTAACTTCTGACTAGTTGGCCATAAATTGAGCTGGACTGAAAGCTCCATTTGAATAATCACAAACATCATTTATTATGTCAGTTGTTTCTCAGTGCCCTCTAAAGATCCTTCTATATTGTCTCCAAGAGGCAGAGTGGTGGTTGTTGGGGTTTTTTTTTGCCAGCCTAAGACTCCATTGCTACAATTATTAGTACATCAAGAAGATCTGGGTCACATGGTTAGGCTTCTTAAATCCCACTTCAGTCATTGGATGGGACCCAAAGCATTGCATGCATAGTTCTGCTCACTCATGAGAGCTCTTCAGCTTTCCTTTCCAGGGACAATCTCCATTCTTACTGAAAAGTCCATCCAAGGTCCTGTGGGCATCCCATGGGGTACAAGAGTCTGGCACATAAAGGGCACATTGCTCCCTCCACTGGACATGCATGGAAGTGTTTTTGCTTGTGCACAAGACATGTGTCAGGTTGGCATCTAAATACTGTTATGAGTTTGTGGGGGCAAGATCTCCCTAAATTCTTAGATTTAGTAAATGTTAGGAATAAGTTGATGCTTGGGGTATTAAGGGAAGCTGCCAGACTTCTGAATCCTGTAGTGTCAAAAGGACAGTTCAAACCACTTTTCCATGCTCAGGAAGTCCTTGGGAGGGTCATTAGCAAGAAACAAAGAGAGCAAAATACTGGGCCATTAAGAACGATTGGCAATGTAAATACTGCCAGCTCTGAGTGAACAGCAGAGGCAAAGGCCAATGATAGCAGACAACGCCCAAGTTTAGGGTTTCAGCTTTGGGTTTTAGGCTGGGGGGAGGTCCTTGAAGCCAGCTGGCAGCAAGAAGGGGAAGGAGGGGCAGAATTCCATGTGAGTTGGAGGTGACAGGTTGGGACCAAGAGACTTTGAATCCAAAGCTGCCCTTAAGAGGGAAGCCAGACCCTCATAGGATGTGAATGTCCTGCAATCCCTCCATCTAGCTGCAGGTTGTGTAAGTATGTATATGGTATTGTATATGTATATGTATATGTATGTGTGTGTGTGTGTGTGTGTGTATGTATATATATATATATATATATATATATATATATATATATATATGGCATGTAAATAAAGCCATATATGATAAAAACACCACAGTCTCTGCTGTGCCTTATTCCCCAAAAGGAAACAGAAACTGTAGATAAGTGTCTGGAACCCCAGAAATCTCGCACCACTCAAAGAGATTAGGGTGGTGTGTAAAAATATAATGTAAATTTCATGCAGCCGTCTCTTGCTTCTCATAGCATACTGAACAAAGTTCTCTTTGAAATGGTTTGCTTGCATCTTTACAACACAGCCAACAACACTAACACAGTACAAATAGAAAACCAATGAACTAGCATACTGGAGAAACTTACACAAAGTGCTGGAGGCAGGGCCATATCGGTATCTTATCCCATAAACTGACTGCAAGGCATTTACAGCGTTAAAAGCAGCAGATTCCTGGGAAGGGAACAAAACAAACAAAAACAAAAAACAAACAAACAGAGAGAGAATGAGAGAAACAATTGTAGTTATTTCAAAATTTCAAGTAACATCCAACAATTTAGGACAATGTTCCTCAAACTTGTTTTTACTTCATTCCCATTTCAAAGCTTTCAAAACCCAGCATAAATAATCTGGTTCATATTTTAGCATGTAGAGGTCTTGTATGAGGTCTTGTATGCTGCCATATGCCTGTTGCCTGTCACTGCATGTAAGGATTTGTGGACTTAATTACTAATTCGAACAATGGCATTAAAAGAGGCATAAGAAAGGATGCCTCTGCCCCCACCCTTAAAGCAGTGAACAAGGATGAACAAAGAAGAAAAGTTTTGTTTTCTATCTTCCCCTTTTTTCTAAGATCATATTGGAATGGTAAGGTAAAAGGTAAAGGACCCCTGGACGGTTAAGTCCAGTCAAACGCGACTATGGGGTTGCGGCACTCATCTCGCTTTCAGGCCAAAGGAGTTGGCGTTTGTCCGCAGACAGCTTCCAGATCATGTGGCCAGCATGACTAAACCGCTTCTGGCGCAACGGAACACCATGATGGAAAGCAGAGCGCACGGAAACACCGTTTACCTTCCTGCTGCAGCGGTAACTTTTTATCTACTTGCACTGGCGTGCTTTCAAACTGCTAGGTTGGCAGGAGCTGAGACAGAGCGGCGGGAGCTCACCCCATCGCGGGAATTCGAACCGCCAACCTTCTGATCGGCAAGCCCAAGAGGCTCAGTGGTTTAGACCACAGCGCCACCTGCATCCTTGGAATGACTGGGCAATTAAAGGAATCAGCAAGGATCCTCTGCCAGGATGCTTACAATCTATGCATGGGTTGGCTGCAGAAAAAGAAAGATCCTATCCCTCCCTGGAACTTCATGCTCTGCTTCCAACGGGTCTCCAATTCACCTTATGAGAATAGTTAATTTTGTGGGGAACCTTTTGGTCCAACATGCCAGATCTTTATCTTCTCCCATGCCTGCAGGTTAACTTTGACGGGTGGTGGTGGTGGTACACTGGTACCTGCCCCAGATTCCCAGGATCTTCATGCCATTAAGGCTACTTTTTAAGATGTCTACTGAGAATCTTCATCCAATTCACACTCAACAAGATGCAGTTCCAGAGCGACAAGGCTGTGCTTACTGAAACACTCAGAATATCATTATATTTAAGTGATTTCAGTAGCAGAGTTGTTTCTGTCCAGGATATGAAAAAGAAAGGGATTTATCTTGACAAGAACCATTCACTATGCAGAAATATCCCTGAATTATATTTTGCAGTTGCAACAGCCAGTCTGTGACGGGAACCAACTTTCAAAAAACTTAATTATGATGTTACAGATAAGGGAACTGCTGAGACTCTGCTTCTGTATTGCTATATATTTTACATTTAAGAATCAAATGAGAGAGTATATACAGAGTGCCCAGATGTGCTGACATTTTTGGATACCTCTAGAGTAGTAACAGTTATGAAGAGTCACAGCAGATGTCTGCCATGGCACAAAGAAATAGGTGGAATTTATTCAGTACTAGGTAAAATAGTTGAAGAAATGTGTAGCTAGTTGCCCACAAGGATAACAACCGTTCTGTCACACATCTATTACTAAACGGTTCCAATAGATTTTTCTATGCAGTATGATTTCCATTCTGGTCTTCTGCTGCCTTACCTTGGTTCCCTCACACCCAAGCAAGGTTTGGCTCCCAAAACCATTCACCTCATTTGTCACTCTGGTTGTGAGATGCCACGCATTGAAAACCTTACACTGGCTTCCTGTCCACTCCCAGATCCAGCACAAGCTTATTGACTGTGCTTTCAAAGTCCTCCATGGCCTTCAGTACATCCTGCCCATGACCTTTGCTTCTCCAGCTTCACAACCTTCCGCTGTCTGAACTAGTTCTCCTCCTCCCTCAAAAGACTCCACCCTTTCTCCCTTGCTGCCCTGGAAACTTAGAATCGCCTCCCAAAACACCTGTCTGATACCACCACCATCTTCATTCAAAGCCTTTGGCTCAACCCATAATTTATCACAGTTCCTGCAACTTATCCTGTAATAAGTAATCCTAACCCTGCTTACATAGAGGAAGCCCCACTGAATTCAAGCTTGCAGCCTAATCATGTGCAGCTGAAAGAACTGGATGTTCTTTCTCTGTGAACCCTGCATCCTTCCTTGGTTGCTTCCTCTGTGTCAGACTCTAAGCTCAAGGTGGGGATCAGTCTCCTTGTATTCTGAAAGCTCATTACAGTTATTGATTTATAAATATTATAAATGGCGACAGGACTGATGGTAGTGGAAGAATATGGACTGTGGAGACAGAAGTAGCTGCATTCCCATTCTTTCTTCTCCCCCCCAAGTTTTATTCTCTGGTCTAAGTGCTATTCTCATACAGGGAACCACAGAAGAAGAAGCAGGAGGCTGAGTGAGCTCTGTTGTGCTATCATGGGAAGACAGATTCTAGCCTTCTAAATAGGGATGCGCCTGCAGTTCCACATCTGTTGACTAGGTTGCCATATGAGAGGTCACTAACTTTATGCATTGCTGATCCATATATGGAAACCAGGGATGGACAGAACAGTCTGTTTCTGATCCATGTCGGCACTGCAGATGTTCATTCATAAGGTTCATTTTGTCCTGTTTCCACATTAATCTCATATATATATATATTTACAAAAATGCATGAACATTTATATTTAAACATGTATTGAAGTAACCTATTCTATCTCAAAATATGTATTGAAATACATATTTATCTGAATTTGATTATTATTTTTCTTATTATTGAAGAGCAAAATCAGAAAGATAATTACATACCAATTCACACATTCATCCAGAAGGTGTCAATTTGCATCAGAATCTATAGAAATCAAATTCCTCAAGCATCCCTGGTTTCTCCTTTGGATGTGTTCTGAGGATAAGTGTGTGTGTGTGTGTGTGTGTGTGTGTGTGTGTAGTGACTGTCCAAATGCCAGTACTTTGTGCTTCAGCTCAGGTCTCTGTTGAGACAGTGTCTGGATGAATGACTGGAAACAGTGTCTGGATGAATGACTGCCTGGGAGTGATGCTGCCCCAAGTTCCATGGTGGGATATTAATATAATAAATAAAAATAAAGGGCTGTATTCAACTAAGTCCTACTCAGAGGAAACCCACTGAAATCAATGAACCTAAGTTAGCCATGTCCATTAACTTCAATGGGTCTGCTGTGAGTAGGACTTTTTACATAATAATAATAATTATAATTCATTTATACCCCGCCCATCTGGCTGGGTTTCCCGTCACTCTGGGTGGCTTCCAACAAAATATTAAAATACAATAGTCTATTAAACATTAAAAGCTTCCCTAAACAGGGCTGCCTTCAGATGTCTTCTAAAAGTCTGGGAGTTCTTTTTCTCTTTGACATCTGGTGGGAGGGCGTTCCACAGGGCGGGTGCCACTACCGAGAAGGCCCTCTGCCTGGTTCCCTGTAACTTGGCTTCTTGCAGTGAGGGAACTGCCAGAAGACCCTTGGCACTGGACTTCAGTGTTTGGGCTGAATGATGGAGGTGGAGACGCTCCTTCAGGTATACAGGACCGAGGCCATTTAGGACTTTAAAGGTCAGCACCAACACTTTGAATTGTGCTCAGAAACGTACTGGGAGCCAATGTAGATCTTTCAAGACCGGTGTTATGTGGTCTCGGCAGCCACTCCCAATCACCAGTCTAGCTGCCGCATTCTGGATTAGTTGTAGTTTCCGGGTCACCTTCAAAAGTAGCCCCACACAGAGCAGATTGCAGTAGTCCAAGCAAAGAGATAACTAGAGCATGCACCACTCTGTGTGAATACCTTTTAATTCTATATTTAAACAAAATAAAATGACTTTTATTGCAAGTTTGCTCCTGAGAGCATCATTGCTGTGAATCCTCGACAAACCCTATCCCATGATACTGATGACCCTTAGGGTCCAATCCCACCCCAATCCCACTGTCATACAACTTCACTTCAGATCCCCTGACCATGGTTACTGAAACAAATAGTTTTATAAATTAAATAACCATCTCCCCAAAAGGCTGAAATAGACTACACATGAACATGTCTGTGCTGTAAAACGCAGTCAAAGACAAGACTTAAATGTGGGGAGTTGTGTATCCTTTTCTCTAGTTTCAAGGCCCTAAATAATTTAGTGCACTAATTCAAAGAGTGGCTGGCTGCACAGTTCCGTCTAGTATGCTGGACAGAAGCCTGTTTGCCTTCAGCTCAGGAATTATTAAAGAGTCCCCTCATTTCTGAATACTGAAGCCCATGGTAAAGCTTTCATCTGTTGGCCAATCTCAACATGCAAAATAAATCTGAGGATCTGGTGCTTGTGAAGTTTGCCTCCGGGGGTGGAAACGGAACGGAAATCCTTTGTGATTCTGCTTTGCAGCTCAGCGCCATTCACAATAAACTGAGATCACATCTTACATGGTTGTTGACGGCATGGGTAAATGTGCCTTTCTTTTGTTTTCTGTGCAACTGCATTGTCCTTGGGTATTTGATATTTGTGCAAGTGCACTTGATGGCTTGTGACCTTTCATTGCAGTTCTCCATCATGTTTCCTTCTTCCTCACCACCAATGTGAAAACAGAGTGACATGGCCTTTTGACATATCTCTTGATACGAGGGTGTTGTTCTCCTGCTGTGCCTCGTGCCGTGCTGCAATTTGCTACTGGACAGAGAATGTGCATAGAATACAGGGGATCCACTGGAGACCAAACAGTCTCCACCTTTCTGCCAAGTATGGAGAAGAGCAGGTGCTCTCTTGCACCAAGCCCTGACTTTGGTCCAAGAATGATGCTCTGGCCACCTCTGTGATATTGCAAATGATCTCCGATGCACCTCTTTGGCTCACATGTTTTTGGTATCCTTCAAAATATTCTTAGACCAAGCAATCAGTTGCATTGCTTCAGAGGTTCCCTTCTCAACTGCAAGTAGCACTGACTGAGAGCACGTAATCTGTTGCCTAGCAATTCCCATAATACATTCTCTTCCCATAGAACAGATATTAGCATAGCTATATGGATAGTGAAAGCACTGACTGAAGTTTAAGGAGGCAAGGAAACAGAGTCTAACCTCAAGTTAAGTACACATGGGCATTTTTGATTGGCTTTTTAAATCCCTGGCTGCCTTTGTCACAGTATTTTGGGCACTCATCTAACTCCTTTCAGACCCGGCGCCACAAAATCTTTCTGCAACACTCCTGATGTTTTGCACTATCTCTCTTGGATCCTCAAATGAAGCAAATTGCTTATTGTATTCATTACTGATCATATAACAATTACATTGCATGATATGCCCATGCATAAATATGAAGTATAACTACTTTGAACTGAGAGCCATACACCAAGCAGCAGCAGCAGAAGAGTTTGGATTTGATTTCCGCTTTATCACTACCCTAAGGAGTCCCAGGGACGCGGGTGGCACTGTGGGTTAAACCACAGAGCCTAGGACTTGCTGATTAGAAGGTTGGCGGTTCGAATCCCCGTGACGGGATGAGCTCCCGTTGCTCGGTCCCTGCTCCTGCCAAGCTAGCAGTTCGAAAGCACGAAGTGCAAGTAGATAAATAGGTACCGCTTGGGCGGGAAGGTAAACGGTGTTTCTGTGAGCTGCTCTGGTTCGCCAGAAGCGGCTTAGTCATGCTGGCCACATGTCCCGGAAGCTATACACTGGCTCCCTCGGCCAATAAAGCGAGATGAGCGCCGCAACCCCAGAGTCGGTCACGACTGGACCTAATGGTCAGGGGTCCCTTTACCTTTTAAGGAGTCTCAAGGCGGCTAACAATGTCCTTTCCCTTCCTCTCCCACAACAAACACTCTGTGAGGTGAGTATAAGACGCCCCCTATTTTTGTGAACTCCATATTAAGAAAATGGGGGGGGGGGAGATTGCCCAGAGTTGCTGAGCTTTTTTTAGGGGGGAATCTGGAAAATTGCTCACCTGCCTGACATATGCTGCCACTCGCACACATTGCAAGTCGCCCATCATCTGTCCCCTCCAATCGCCCGCAGCGACAGCTAGTCAATACCACCCCTTGCTGCAGCCACCAATAACACGCCCAATAGCCGCAGACAATCTCCGGCTCGTGACAGCAACCAATCCCATGTCCCCCCTATGCACTATCCGAGTATAATACGACCCCCATTTTTTTAACATAACTTTAAAATAAAAAAACATTGTCTTATACATGAAAAAGTACGGTACTTTCTTTAAATTCAAAGTGATCTGCAAGGATTCAAAATTCTTCAAATCCCACACTTACCACACAGCTGAAATTTGGAATAGTCGCATACTTGTAAGAGTAGGGATACAACAACATCTGGGCATACGCATGAAAGGACAGGTAAGCTTTTATTTGCTTCCGGTGTTTGCGAAGAAAGTGAGCTACAGCCTTCACTTCTGGCTCAGATTCAGGGAAAGGACCACAGTATGTGTCGTCACAGGGGTGGGTGGAAGCCCCTTCATCTGCGTGTTGAAAAGAAAAAGAAGCCCAAATTAAACCCACAACATTTAAATTGGACGCAAGCCAGGAAAACGCCCAGAGATATCATGCTGGACTCTATTTTTATTAAAATAAACTCTCTTGAACAAAACAAAACAAACAAAAAAAAGGAATAGAAAGGACCAGTTGGCCAAAACCACTTTGCTGCCTGAGGCTAAGGCAGGGCTGACGTTAGGGAGAGTAAGGTAACAGCATCTTTCAGAGAATGCTGGTGGGCAGCAGAAGGAGCTGCTGGAGGACAGAGTGGTGCGAGCCACATGGCTTGTCCTGCACCCCCATAACTATCCTACTGTCTTCAGGTGCACTGGAGGACATTATGCTATTGCCCATGTGGAAAGTAAGATTGAACTGCCATTCTAGTGCGTTTCTGTACATTGAATGGTGGGAGGTACCATTCAGGCAGCAAAATATATTGGGCTCGGCAAAGGTGAAGTCCATTATATATGGGCTGACTGCTGGATCTCACTTTCAACCCTGGCAAAGGGACAGTGCACCTGAGTTCGACAGGCTCACTTAGATGGGCGCAGGGGGGTGCTGTGTGACACAGCAGCTCTGTCCTCCAACACTGAGTTGCACACAGGTGTGTTTCTTATCGGTTTGGACAAAGGATTTGGCCTAAATCAGAACTTGAAGCCCTTCCACTGAGGCTGTTTAAACCGAAGGCATTATTTAAACCAGGTTGGATAGTGCCTGAAACCTTTCTTGTAGTAGCTTCAATACTTCAGAATAGCCATGCCAATTAAAAGAACAGAAGTGGATGGAGTTTTTGTTTGTACCAGCATGTATGTTACGACCACAGCAGTGCAGATGCAGCATTCCCAAAACACTAACCATGGCTTAGTCACAGGGAGGTTTACCAGTTTCTGATCTGTTAATGGTTAGCATGATGTCCTTTATGCTCTTTGTGTAACTAGCTTGGGTTTAAACACATAAAAATATATTTTTTCCAGGAATTCTGCATAACAATGAGACCTTGACTGCTGCATTTTTGCTGCCACAAGGGGCTTATTAAACACTCCTTTTAATAAATACCATTTGCATAAAATGTACTGTAAATAGTAAGGGGATGAGAACCAGCATTGCATGACGATCCTTAAAAATATGAAGTATAATAGGCTATATAATTAGCATAATAACTCAGAAGTAGCTAAATAGCACTTGCATAGTCTGAGGAACTAAGACACGAGAACTTCTCTTCATGGCCATCAGTGAAAAAATGCAAAGATTATCTTTGTCTGAGCTCAGATGGGTACTTTGTGGTAGCGAGGGCATGTGGTATACTCTCTGCTAAACAGACAGCCACCAAGTAATCTAACTCAAGAGACTCATCTCCTAATTTCTTATCAAATGCTATAATTCAGTTGTTTTCAGACCTTCTCGCTTCAGGAAAGTATTCCCATATTGACTTGTCTGGCTTGAAAAGACCCACATTAGTTCAAATTGAGCTGTTTAGATGCCTAGTCTGCTCTTCCAAAACTTTTCTTGAGGCAGCTTTGGGTCTTTGCCAATATAATGGATTGGTGTTCTTCATTCATAGTGCTAATTTCGCAGCTGTTAAAAGACTTATCTTTACCTCCTGTTGCTGCTGCTGCTGTTAACTAGCCCAGATGAAATTGAGTTTATACCAGGCTAGAGAAAGTTAGGTATGGATGCTTCTATTCATGACCATCCTGCCACAACCTGTAAATCATGGGTAGGCAAACTAAGGCCCGGGGGCCAGATCCGGCCCAATCACCTTCTAAATCAGGCCCGCGGATGGTCCGGGAATCAGCGTGTTTTTACATGAGTAGAACGTGTGCTTTTATTTAAAATGCATCTCTGGGTTATTTGTGGGGGCACAGGAATTCGTTCATTCCCACCCCCAAAATATAGTCCAGCCCCACACAAGGTCTGAGGGACAGTGGACCGGCCCCCTCCTGAAAAAGTTTGCTGACCACTGCTGTAAATGGTAGTTACAAGATCTAGTTGAGGACTGGGTCACACTGACTTATGGCTCCTTTGTTGCAGTAGAGACTCCAAGACTCATACGTGATGGGATTCTCTTATGGGGCCACAAAACCAATTTGCTACTGCCTGAGAACATGGCACAATGCAATATAGCTGTTATTGCATGGCCTACCTCAGATGGTTACTTTCTTAAGGTTACAAAGTCAGGAGAGGATTCTTTCAGACAGAAACAAAGCAATAAATTATTATTTTTAGATGGATTTGATCATTATTTTACAGCATTTATATATGGGATGATTAACCTCAATCTTCTTTTACTAGCAGCTGACTCAGGTAAATTGTATACTTAACTTTGGTAGGCTAAGCTGATAGCAGCTGTTCCAATTTCCTATCGAACCAATAGAATCTCTGTGTACTATTCCTGTATCATCCCCGCAATTATGAGGAACACAAATATTAAAAGAGAAATGCTAGCTGCCATGCACAGCTATGCAGTTCTTTATATTATTACTATATTATCTAATGTTTTTCATTCAGATAAGGTTTTCAAGTTTAGGTGGGGAAGGATAAAAAGGAATTCAGTAAATGTCAGCTATTGTCGAATGCCAGAGTTACTGTCACAACAAGACAATAAAAATCCAGGAAATGACAGAATTGCTCTACAAGGTTGTTTCAGAAGATGGCCGAATTGTTCATCTCCCACTGCAGGAGACAATCATTAAAGTGAACTCGATATGTTGTGCTTTCTTGAGATGGATGAAGGAACGAAAACAGAGCGTATGGGTTGAAAAACTTGATAGTGGCTTTCATATTGATGCAAAGAGATGGAACAGTGGATAATCTGTAACGTCCCAACTATATAGGCTGAGAGAGATGGCATTATCTCCTTCTGTCATAAACCCAGAGACTCGGACACAGAGTCTTAGGGCCCAGTAGTGCCAGTGGAAGAGCACCACCACTAAACTATAACCCCAGCTCCCCTAGCCCCAAGATACCAGAAACCCTGGACCCCAAATCTGGATTTGTGCCAGAGAAGAACTTACCAGCTTCTATGTTGTTGTTGTTTTCCATAAAAATAAAAAATATGTATATTTAAAACCTGGGACGTTTTGCTTTCAAACCATATGATCTACAACTGAGCTTCTCAAACATAAACAGTCTGGGTGTGTAATATGTGTGTGTAATAGGGTGTGCCTATATGTATGTCACGGGTAAAATTAGAGACACAAATGAAACAAATAACTCCATCCCATGTGTACCACAGACTGCAAAGCCAAATCTGGAGATATTCCTACTTGCATCAGAGTAAGGAGTGAGCCACAAGAGGTAAGCGCTGTGTCAAGGTGCTTATGCCAGAAAGGAAGAGAAACAGAGCTGACACAGAAATGTTGCCTTAAAGGAAAAGAAACAGTCTCGCTCATTGAATGCCAAACATGTGCAGAAGAAATGCAAAAACAGGATTCGTGCTCAAAACCTACCTGCCCTCAGGCACCTGTTAAGAATTTCAAGGCCTGGAAACTGGAGATGGAACTAAGACATCTCCATGAGAACACAGAGTGAAGGTTGTTTTTCTGAATAAAAACAGGTCAAGATAATACAAACTATGACTTCCCTGTTGCGGTTTTTTTTTTTTGTCTCTTTGAGAGAGGCAATGTAAGATGACAAATGTTCATGGGATTCGGAGCAAAGGACTTTCAAGCTCTAATTCTGTCATAGTTGTTGGCTTGCATTGTATCCTTGGGCAAATATGCAGCAGTTCCATGTCTCCATTTTACTTCTGAAAAATCACAGACATCAAAAAAGGACTGTTCTAAGAATCAGCTATCTATAGGACGGCACGTTTGGGGGGGGGGGGAAGGATGCACATGGGAGTGCCATCTGAGCAGAGCAAGCACGGACGTTTATATTGATGTGAAAGGTAAAAACTAACTGAAGTGAGGGATGAATTCCCGCCTGGGTTGAACACATTTGATGTAATAACAAGCAATATATAGATAAGAGAGCCAACCAGATGCAAATCTGTTCTTCATGTCTTCAAAAAAAGGGCAACTGAGTTTCAGAATTAAAGAATTTACTCACTTCATTCTCTTCTGTTTTGTTGTGCAACAGGGGATTAAAGGAATGAAGGAGACCAGAGGCACTGGCATAGATTCACTAGGCAACCGTGAGGCAGTCTCTCAGTTTCTTTAGGCTATAATATGAACTAATTAAGTGTAAATTAATTAGAATGGGCCTAAGATGTGGAGCTGTGAATCAGGAAGTTCCTGCTTTGAATCTCATCTCTCGTTTTGAACACAGTAGGTAGCCATTGGAAATCTACTCCCGCTCTTGGCTTCAGCCTTCCCATCTGCAATATGGAAGGTAATAGCAATAGTGACTTGACTTTACAGGGATGTTGTATGTATTACAGCTAAATAATAAACGTCAACCACTTTGAACACTTGAAAGCGCTATACAAATGGTAAGGTAAGAAATGTTATTATAATTTTTATTAATTGCATACATGGGTTGCTGATTAGTCACATACAGTGCTTTTTTCTGGAGGGACGCAGGTGTATGCATACCCCTAAACATTTTGTGAATCTAAGTTTGGCCTCTTTGAGGGGCAGTATTTCAATATGAGAAGGAAAATGAGAGTACCCCTAAACATTTTTTTAAGAAAAAAAGCATTGGTGACATCAATTATTTGAAACCCACAAAACTTTGTAGTTCTCTAGTGGGTTATTATGCCTACATCTAGTTCCATATTGAGGCCTACAGCGCTAAACTGCAAAGTCCAATGGCATATCCCCCAACATTCCTCAAATAAAAATAGGGACATTCTGTCCTGCATCAGTGCTCCCTCCCACACTCGCCATATATGCACACTGGTGATGGAATATGGGGGGAAAGGGTGGGGCTGTCTGAGCTGCCCCAGTGGAACTTGCATTTAAGCATGGATGTAATTCTAGGCCAGGGATTGTTGTTTCTTTCTTTCTGCTTGCACCAGGTGAGGAGTGAAGTGTGACTGATCTCTGTGTTCATAGTGAAACTGTTAACCATGGTTTGGTTCACTCCGCAACCTGGACCATATCCAATAAAAATTTGCATTGCAATTTAATATCCCAGATAATAAAATTGCTCCATAGCTTGCTAATTCAAATACAGGCTCATTCTAGACTTACCACACCATTTCACTTTCCAGTTACGATTGGCATCTACGCCATGGCAACGGAATCTTGAATTCTTTGATCTTGTTTTTCTCCAAAATCGATCCTATCCATAATTGATTAGAACATGGAAATACAACATATATATTGGTAAAAAAGCATCATGTGCATATTAACAAAGTCTTGTAAAGATACTTCATGAACTCCCTCCCCAAACACATATTTTGAAACACAGGCGACTCTCAACTTATGCTGGGGTTAAGTTCCGGGGATAGTCTGTAAAGCCAGAACTGTGTATAGTCAAAACACATTGGGTTCAATGGTGGGTGGGATTGCCAAAGTCCTTGTTCCTGGATGTCCGCCATCTTCCTTATTTTTTACTTTGGCCAAGTGCATAAAGCTGAATGTGCACAAGTTAAATGTAAGCATGTTGCAAATTACCTGTACTTGACTGCATTCGTAGAATCACAGAATTGTAGAGTTGGAAGGGATCCCTAGGGGTCATCTAGTACAACCCCCTGCGATGCAGAAATCTCAACATGCAGTCCCCCATTCAATTTTAAACCATTCCAGATCCTGCAATGTGCTAGCAGTTTTATTGCTGCACTACAAGGAGGATATCAGTAAAAATATATACTGAATTCTAACTCTACTAATACCTTAATGCTGGAAACATGACTTACCTGGGTCCAGCTAAAATGGTATCCATCCACATTAAAAATAGGCATGATGTAGAAATACAGTTGATTTAACATTCTTCTCATGGCTGGGTCACTTTGATAGGTCTGGAGAGCCTATGAACGGGCAAAAGAATAATCAAAGTAATGTTTGTAATCAAAAACCCATAGGAACCATCCTGAACCCTTCTCTCATATATATATATATATATATATATATATATTTGGGTGGATGGGGGGACACGAAGTAACTGCAGAGCAGGACTAGAAACATAAGGCATGCTAGAGCTCAGATACACTTTGGTGCTGAAGCAAAGTTCTACTAAGACAGGCATCCCCAAACTAGGATAATGCCATTAAAAAGAAGCTCTGTTTCTTTGTTGCCAAAGTTCCACTATTCTGGAATGGCGTAAAAAAACCACCATTCCAGTGCCATTAATCTAGTTCCTGTCTTCAGATATTATTGGGCAACATGGTACCAGATGACCTGAAAACAACTCCCACTCCAGCCTGGGTCAGGCCTAGGTCAACATATAAAATAGTAAGTAGATAGAGATTTAAGAGCACAGCTAACAATCTGCAGATAACTACTACTGCAGTCTACAGGGTCTGAGCACTACTATGAGCCATGGATGCTGAACTGATTCATTATGGCATACAGAAGTATATTTGCCTCGCAACAATTCATATTTGCAAGTAAAATACATGGAAGAGCATTAAAACTTAATGGATTCTGGGGTGTCTATGCCCCATTGATTAATAATTTCACAGCAGTCTGGTGATGGTTGTTTGAAAATTCCTTCATGCAGGAGCTTCTACTGTGAAGCCCATCTCCCCCCCGCCCCCCAAAATCAGGTTTATAAAACTTCATTTATGTTCATGAATGTTTTTCATTCAGAATTGAATTCAGTTGCCATGTCTATAATGATTGCATGTGAAACTGAAAACAATATATAACTGAATTAAAACACCTGTTTTAATCATAAAAAGCCCATAGCATCACTTGTTACATAAGGGAACTGATTAGGTTCGTACTTTCTGCAGCAAGGTTAGAGATATTGGTATATTTGTGGTACAGTGGTACCTCAGGTTACATATGCTTCAGGTTACAGACTCCGCTAACCCAGAAATAGTGCTTCAGGTTAAGAACTTTGCTTCAGGATGAGAATAGAAATCGTGCTCCGGCGGCGCAGCAGCAGCAGGAGGCCCCATTAGCTAAAGTGGTGCTTCAGGTTAACAGTTTCAGGTTAAGAACAGACATCCAGAATGAATTAAGTACTTAACCCAAGGTACCACTGTACTGGGACGCGGGTGGCGCTGTGGGTAAAAGCCTCAGCGCCTAGGGATTGCCGATCGAAAGGTCGCGGTTCGAATCCCCGTGGCGGGGTGCGCTCCCGTTGTTCGGTCCCAGCGCCTGCCAACCTAGCAGTTCGAAAACACCCCCGGGTGCAAGTAGATAAATAGGGACCGCTTACTAGCGGGAAGGTAAACGGCGTTCCATGTGTGGCTCTGGCTCGCCAGAGCAGCGATGTCACGCTGGCCACGTGACCCGGAAGTGTCTCCGGACAGCGCTGGCCCCCGGCCTCTTGAGTGAGATGGGCGCACAACCCTAGAGTCTGTCAAGACTGGCCCGTACGGGCAGGGGCACCTTTACCTTTTTTTACCACTGTACTGGAAATTATGGAATATTGCACTCTCAGAAAGACTGACACAGCAACTTGGCTCATCCAAAGGAAATGCCGAGGAGTACAATTTTTATAAAATGCAAAATAGCTTTTAGCTGCCAGAAACAGCGTTCAACTGACATCTCCAGCACAATGGTGCAGCTAGGTAACATTAGACCCTAGATTTAGGCCACATTCCCACCATACATATGGTATTAGTAGTCATGACTTCCCCCAAGAATTCTGGGAGCTGTAGTATGTTAAGGGTGCTGAGAGTTGTTAGGAGACCCCCTATTCCCCTCACAGAACAACAGTTCCCAGAACTCCCTGGAAAGAGAGATCGGCACTTGAACCACTCTGAGAATGTGATGGGTGATGGGAGTTGTAGTCCTATAACAGCCGGAGGGCCAAAGGTTAGCCACTCTTGCTGCACACCTTCCAGTTATGCTATATTTATTCTCCCCCTGTATTCCTTGTATTGTTTTGAAGTAGATAAACACACAATGTCATGGCAAAGAGGAAACTGCCATAGTTATTCGCAAAAGCATGTATGGCATGCCTCACTGTGGCAACAGCAGGTACTGCACCCTATCTTTTAAATGAATGCTAATCATCGCTGAACATATTTCATATTTATTACAGTTTTATCTCCTCCCTTTCTCCAAGGAAGTGAGAAGGTGTGCAAGGCTCCCTATCCCACACCATTTTATCCTGTCAATAACCCTGTGAGATAAGGTTAAGCTGCAAGACAATGACTGAGCCATGGTCATTTGGTGAGCATTATAGCTGAGTAGAAATTTGAACCATGGTCTTCCTAACCCTAGTTCAGCTCTCCAACCATCACATACTGTACATCTCAAAAGGACTGGAAGATTCGCCACATATCAGTGCATAGAGAGCAACAGGTAAGAGCTACATCAATGTGTGCAGGGGCGTAACTAGCTGCTCTGGCACCAGGAGCGGAGGGGGTGGGGTGAGCCACCCACGGGGGCGCCATGGCAATCCGCCCAGGGGGATGGCGCAGTGAGCTGCCCTGGCGGACGCAAGCCCCATGCTGTTGTTTTGGGCAGCGTGGGACCCCAAGCCACCACTTCACTTCCAGGAGAAACGCGTGGCTCGAGCGCACTGCAGGCCAGGCCCTGCGGTAAGTGCCAACCCCCGCTGTCCTAAGTCAAGAAATCAGCTAGTCACAATGGCAGTGGAGTTATTCACTGGGATGTATCCTTATCTATGCAGGAAACGGCTGATAGCAGATTAAGCTGCATTACGGCTGCTAGCAATATTGTCAAAGGTTAAGCTTTGAGAGCACCCTAGCCTCGGCTCGCTTCTGACAGATGCGGCTACCTTCACCCTAGTTAACCATTACAAATAAGTTCCAGATACAAAGGCAGCAAACCGAATGTGCCGGACTTACAATTTCCTAATTCCAAAATACAACAGACGAATCGATCCTTACTTCTTTCACAAACCACTGGCAAAATGCTGGTCCAATCCATTCTCTTGCATGGATTCCACAGTCTATCCAGACAGCTTTCTTGTAAAGGCGTGATCTTTTGCCGAGCTGCAATAGTAAATGTGCATAAGTGAGGAGAAAACAAAAACAAAAAACACAGACCAGCGTCCAAACTACTACTTGTGTCAAACCCTTGTGTGGAATTGTTTCCTTTTTTCCTTTTTCTTTAAACAGCTGAGCACTATAAACTGCTTTTGATAGTTCCAAAAGAACTTAACTTTGCAGCGCAGGAGGAAGCAGCAAGAGCAGAAACAAGCTTAAATCTCCTACTGGACTCACGGAAATAGTTTCACAATTCTTTGGCTCCTGGCTCTACTATCTTACAAAATAAAATTTGATGGTATGTTTTCCCCTCCTTCTGAACACTTTCAAAAGAATCACATATCAGGCTTCCTTCCAACTCTATGATTCTATGTTCCTAGAGGTGGAATTTCCTTGGCCATTCATGTTTATTGTTGTGAGTTTAGTGGGTTGGGTAGGCTGTATGCCTGATTCAATAGGCATCTGAGTTGCTGGATTCAACAGGGACGCAATTACACCCGCACATTTTCAATCCTGAACCTCTCAGGAGGAACCCTTTTTGTACTTCGGTTGTATATATGCATGTGTAAACAAACCATATATCATAAAGACACTACAGTCTCCGCCGTCACTCATTCCAAGGAAACCGAACCCTGGGTTAGCATGTGGAACCACTGCAATTTTGCACCACTCAAAGATTGGGGTGGCCCTACAGCATTATATGCCAATAACTTCACAAACATTTTATCAATTTTATTTTACCTTTAGCACAAAAAGTGGTCTTCCTTCATATGACTTGCCAACACAGAACATGTGGACAAGATCTGAATGAGTTTTGTTCAGATGATACATCCAACTCTGAATCTGAAAAAGCAAAAATAAAAAGAGACAAGATGCATCTTTTAAATTTGAATCATTTTCCTTATCATATATTAAGGTTACCAGACGTCCCCGTTTCCCGGGGACAGTCCCTGGATTTACAAAACAGTCCCCATACAAAATCCATTGAAGTTGAAAAGTGTCCCCTGGTAACCTTATCATATATGAAAATGAAAAACCAGCACAGTATTGCAAAGGCTAGGAATCCCTTAAAGTGTTTTCAATGCGTATTATAGAGTTTTCTAGTTTGCATATTTTTTAAAGGTTATTTAAAAGGTTCTAGAAATAACACAAGTTTGCTAATTCCCCAGGACATGCACTTGCGAATACATGGGATACCATTTTAATGTTACCTACTTCCTCCAGTGAATGATATATTTCATAGCTGTATCCTGGTAATGATCTACGATTCCTGGAGGACCCCAAACCACTTTGCTTTTCTACTGCTTTTTGCAGATCAGATATGAGGACGCTGTGTCAAAAGAAAGCAAAATGAATAAATGCAGACCAAGGAAGAAAGGGCACAGAAAAATGCAGGAAAATAACACTGTTACGGTAAGCTAAAGTTACATAGATTGCAACACGTCGAGGAACTATTTGTGTCACTTTCATAAGCCTGCCTAAATTGGTTGTGATAGCATTCTGGTATACTGTAATGTGCTGTCAAACAAGCTAGTTGTTTTGAAATATAACAGTACTTTGGAAAATGCTGAGGTTTTTTTTGTTTTTTTAAGGGAATGACAGAACATGATGTAAAGTAATTAGCCAGTATTGAAGTTTAAATGAAAAATTTAGTATCTTCCACATTTTTGCTAGATCCTGTTTTACGTTCAGACTTCTAAGAAGGGTTACTGTGAAACTGAAAGAAGATTAATCTCTTTTTCCTATCTGGGATACGTTAATCTTTGAACCTGAAAATGCAAGTGGATCTGGGCTCAGCCATTTGTTGCATTAGCTTCTCTACTCAGCTTTGCCTAAACCGTGTCAGCTTTCCCATGGGCCAAGGACTTGTGCAAGAGGGCTTTGCCCCCTCTCCTCTCACCATGGGCCTCCTGCACCCCCAAATTGGCCAGGAGAACTCCCATAAGGTGTATGAGGAGAGGGAAGATTGTTCTGATGTGCTTGTGCACACAGGACATTTGTAGTATCACAACACTGAATTCCACCCTTAATTTTTAAAAGCCTATTTAATTTATTTATTGGTGTTGCTGAGAGGTGGGTTTGGGTTTTGTTTTGGTATATTGACTTTATTCTCCAGTTTATTTTTTTATTTTTTATAGTGATATTATGCTGCTGTTGTAAGCTCCTCCATGGGTGCATTATAGAAGTATTGTGAATAAATAAATAATGCTTATAATCAAACAACAAAATTTGTTATGTGTTAGCTATCTTGCTGTCCCAGGTTCCCTTTGGAGGATGGGTGGGATAGAAATTTAATTAGCTTGTTAATTAAATCATTCCGTTTATCCTCCCTTAAATATTTGATAGCTCAAAGGAAACTCTAAGAAGCACCTTGCTAGCTTCACTTCTTGTGTTGTTGTTTTTTAAAGATATGTTTTAGCCCCCAGAGCCATACAGAAAAGTTGGAACATGTAGTAGCAACATCTGTTAAAGCTAATAGCAACACAAAACCAAATGACCAAGCAATGTCTTCCAGGAGTCTAAGTTCAAAGTTTGTGCAATGTCTCCATTAAGAATACTTTGCGCCAGTTATGTGCAGATGCGTGTGCTACTTCCATTAACTTTAGAATTAAGAGTCTTTTCCAAACATGGCAAAGACAAGGCTCAAGTAGAAACATGTCAACAGTGTCACATTCTATGATCTAGTTAAATCAATCTGCCATTTTAAAAAAGAAAACAATGCCACAGCATTATGGCATCTCGATACACACTCCCAATACACCTCCAGTATAAAAATCCCAAATAAGGGTTATTTAGCTAATTTCTCCATCTTCCTGACACACAAATCCTGATCTTAGAATTATTGGCTCCTATTGAGAGAGACAGAACTCTGACAAATGCCGCTGGGAGTTTAAAAACATGACAATGTGGAATGATAAGTGCAATTCCTGCTGAAAGTAGAGGAATTAACAATAATAATGAATCTGTGCTCCACACGGGCCTTTTTGGTGACAGGAAATTGACTAGTGTATCCCTAGCATATAATTTAAAAGCATGTGTGCGCTTGCAACTACTCAGCATACTTCTACTTAACATTCAAGTGCAAATTAAGCAGACTGCGGAACCAGTGGCAATAATTACCATTTATATAACAAATAAACCAGGCCTGGTAGCACTGAAGAGACACTGGTTTTCATTCTAAAGGGGACTCTTTAATTAAACTGTCTGCCCAAGAGAGTTCCTGCATGCTTCCATTCAAATAACAGTTTTGTAGGAGGTCTGTGTACTCTCCAGCCATTGTAATTAAAAAGGCACAATATTAAATGGAGCATATTTCTAAACAAAATAGATGTAACAGACCTAAACCATGGCAGAATGCATCAGGTGGCCTTAGAGGAACTGAAATCCATGCTTACGTATATTGGATGTTTGCTTGTTGCAGGTAAGGTAGTAGAATTTGCGAATTGTTCCTTGATACACGTATGTCTGTAACTGCACCCTTTGAGATGTAGGAGATGCTGCCAGGCTGCCACAGGTCTACCTGTAGTGCAGGAACCAACCTGTAATTCATATTTATTCAGTCTAGATTGAGAACATCCATGAATTTAATATATAAAAGGTCATCTTCTTCTTATGCACTCTAATAACATGTCAGAGATCATCCACAGCCTGAGAAAAGCAGATTTAATATTAAACAGTGATCCTGAAATAGCCAAAAAAACCTATGCTGAAATGAGTAATGTGTATAAGGCACAATTTCTTCAACTTAATTTTCAGCCCACGTGTTTTTCTGTACATTTAAGCAGATTTATAGTCTACAACTGTTTGATATACATCCTTGCAAAAATCATGTCAGAGGATATGTGCATGCTGCTTTAGTGATTTGGTGTCTGAAAATGAAAACCTTAAAAAAAACCCCTAAAACAAGTACTCTCATCTGCCACACGGCTACCATAATTCAACCAGTGATTAAATATATTCTCTGCATCCGATTTCCTACACAATTCTTCAAAATACTGCGTAGCCTCTTAATATTATATCAGATGATGTAGCCAGTAGATGTTCCTTTCAGAGTTTATTCTTCTAACAGGTCAACCGAAGGAAAGGAATCTGTCAATAAGTAGACAGCATTTGGCCTTGCAGCAACACATCCCTTGGAAAAGTGTCATGCAAAAGCTCTGGGTGACAGCTCATTGGGCAAAAATAGTGCAAAATGTTTGTTTGTTTGTTTGTTTTAAAGCAAGGGGTATTTAAGGCGTAAGTCCTAAAGTCTGAAACCCAGACAATGAAACTAATTGTGCAATCCTAGGGTGCACTGCTCAGAAGTAAGACCAAAGTTCAGTGGGTCTTACTCCGAGGTAAGGTGGCCTGGCATCGAAGCCCAAGACCAGTTGAAAACATAAGAGAGGGAAAAGAACATCTCTCTGAGGGGCAAGATTAGAGTATCTTCTTCCCCAAGTAGGTTTTTAATAAGAGGCCCAATGAGAAAAGACACATGGAATAATGGCAGTGGAAATTTTACAAGGTTTTACTGGGCAAACCTCAGCACCACTAGCTATGTCAGGCTGAAACAATTTGCCATTTGCAATAACCACCATGTGGTGAGGCTGAATTCCTACAACAAGTGTGGGGAGATAGGAACATAGGAAGGTGTATTATACACAGTCACACCATGTAGCTCACTATTGTCAACACTGACTGGCAATGGCTCTCCAGGGTTTCAGACAGGGGTCTCTCTCAGCCCTGCCTTGAAATGTTGGCAGGGGCAGCCCATCCCGTTTTGCCACCTGAGGCAAAATGGGGAGGTGCCAGCCCCCAAAGTGGCTACTTCAGTCCGCTTCATGTCCCTAGATGTTGGGAACTGAATCGTTGACCTGTCCCTAAACCACAGCATGAGTAAACAGAAGCTGAGAACTTATATTGCCCCACACTCCCCTCCCCCATTTTTCTCCTGGGGGAAAACATGGTTGCAGAGATTTGAACGAGGCATCACACAGAATACATAAATTTGTCAAAGAATAGTAGCTTTACAAATTTGCCTAAGTACAGTGTGTTCACTTGGTGGAAAACACAAAAATGCCAAGGGTAAACTGAGAACAAACCAATTAGAATAAACCTTTTGTGGGCTTACATTTCTTTAGGTATAAACAAGTTCCTTCTTGGATAGATTCTCAATTTTATTACACTGGTTTCAAATTTATTTGCTTTTTCCCTTGAGGAAGGAAGAATGTTGGTAATGTGATAGGTGACTTAGATTTACAACATAAGCCAGAAGCACTCAGTATGTGCTTCTTAAAACATGTCTGCATTCTAAGGTCTCAAATTTACCTTGAAGGTAATCATAAAATTAAAGCCATTTGTATGTTATTGCTATCCTTTGGCTCTTTTACTCTTCAGCTTATCAACCTTTGTTGTGCTGATAGATTTGTAGAGGCAGAAATATGTGGCTGTTTTGCATGGTGTTTGGGGATGGTGTAAGCGATGTTATCCTGCCCGCTATCAGATAGCAACTGGCTGGATCACAGGATGGCTACGTGTCCCACTTTGAAGAGGGCAATCCTTGGTTTGAAGGACTGGCAGGGTGTAGTTCTCTATTGGAATGTTTGCAGGTCCTAGTTTAAAGATAGGTAAAGGTAAAGGGACCCCTGACCATTAGGTCCAGTCGTGACCAACTCTGGGGTTGCGGCGCTCATCTCGTTTTATTGGCCGAAAGAGCTGGCGTTCGTCCGCAGACAGCTTCCGGGTCATGTGGCCAGCATGACTAAGCCGCTTCTGGCGAACCAGAGCAGCGCATGGAAACGCTGTTTACCTTCCCGCCAGAGCGGTACCCATTTATCTACTTGCACTTTGACGTGCTTTCGAACTGCTAGGTTGGCAGGAGCTGGGACCGAACAACAGGAGCTCACCCCGTTGCGGGGATTCGAACTGCCAACCTTCTGATCGGCAAGCCCTAGGCTCTGTGGTTTAACCCACAGCGCCACCCGTGTCCCAGTTTAAAGATAAAGAGCCATAATAAGGGAGAACAGGAGGGATAAATAAATAAATAAATAAATAAATAAAATTTATTTATATCCTGCCCTCCCCAGCCGAAGCTGGGCTCAGGGCGGCTAACAACAATCAAAATAGTCCAACATTCAAATTAAAATCAAATTAATGGCAACCATCAAGCAAAATTCTGTGCAGATTGCCAGAGGAGGGGGTCAGGCTGCGCCCTGACCAAAGGCCTGGTGGAACAGCTCTGTCTTGCAGGCCCTGCGGAAGGATGTCAGGTCCTGGAGGGCCCTAGTCTCTTGTGACAGAGCGTTCCACCAGATTGGAGCCACGGCCGAGAAAGCCCTGGCTCTAGTTGAGGCCAGCCTAACCTCTCTGTGGCCTGGGATCTTTAGGATGTTTTTATTTGCAATTCTGGGCTGCATCAATAGGAGTATAGCATCTAGATCAAGGGAAGTAATAGTGCCACTGTATTCTGCTCTGGTCAGACCTCACTTGGAGTACTGTGTCCAGTTCTGGGCACCACAGTTCAAGAAGGACACTGACAAACTGGAACATGTCCAGAGGAGGGCAACCAAAATGGTCAAAGGCCTGGAAACGACGCCTTATGAGGAACGGCTAAGGGAGCTGGGCATGTTTAGCCTGGAGAAGAGGAGGTTAAGGGGTGATATGATAGCCATGTTCAAATATATAAAAGGATGTCACATAGAGGAGAGAGAAAGGTTGTTTTCTGCTGCTCCAGAGAAGCGGACACGGAGCAATGGATCCAAACTACAAGAAAGAAGATTCCACCTAAACATTAGGAAGAACTTCCTGACAGTAAGAGCTGTTTGACAGTGGAATTTGCTGCCAAGGAGTGTGGTGGAGTCTCCGTTCTTTGGAGGTCTTTAAGCAGAGGCTTGACAACCATATGTCAGGAGTGCTCTGATGGTGTTTCCTGCTTGGCAGGGGGTTGGACTCGATGGCCCTTGTGGTCTCTTCCAACTCTATGATTCTATGATTCTAAGCTGCATTCCTGTATTAATTTATAATTTATATACCACTTGATTGTAAAAACAACAATCTCAAAGCAGTTTCCTTTGGAGATAATCAGTTAGTGGCAGTAGGTGGGGCCAGAGACAAAAGTGGGAAGGGTTCATAGGATTGCTTTGTTCTGGTCTCACCCTCACTTTCTTTGTCAGCCCATCTCTCTCATGTTTTTCTCCATTTCTCCACCACCACCACCACCCCCTTCAGTTCTTCTAGCCTCCCTAAGCATTCATTCATGTTCTTACATTTATATACTGCCTCTTTGAATGCAGTGTAATGTGCATATGGCTCCCAGAAAGCCTGTAAGCTGCCATCTAAGCTCTTAACAGACCCAGAAGGACTGAGCTTCAGCAACTTGGTGGCCTCAAGTGCCTTCAGACCACATGAATAGATAGATGATAGATAGATTGAGATTGAGACAGAGATATGTGTGTCAATGATCCTTCAGAACATATTTAAAAACCTCTGATGAAACACTCTGCTCATTCTGTCCCTCAGTCCACAGCAATCCCAGCAGCCCCCAAACTCACCTCAAGTTGTTGAGAAAGGATCTTCAGTGTCTTTGCTGCTTTCTCATTCTCAGGAACAACCCGTAGCACTTTATCCCTGTTAAGGAATACTGAAATGAAACCCTAAGTATTCTTTTTTTCAAAAAGAAACATAAGTAAGAGGCAGGGAGGATAACAATAAAAATGTAGATGCAGATTTAACTACAGCTTACATACCGATCACGAATCAGTATCACCTTTTTTATGTCAATGTCTTGAATAATTCATACCATCACCTGGAGAAATGTGAACTCTCCCGCTTCGAGTTGTTAAAAAGGATGAAAAGCTGTGAATATTTGCTTCTTGTTGTTCTTATTAATTCTGGAAACGGGGAGGGGGGGGGGAAATCATCTCTTCCTATCCAATAATAAAGTATTAACAAAGAAACACCAAAACTTAAGGGTTATTGTATAAAGGAAATAGCTTGGAGATGGAGTATGTGTAAACAGATAAAAACCTGATTCTGAAGCACTGTAGCTCAAAGGATATTGTCAGATAGGGAACAGATATTGGAAGTGACTGGTGACCTACAAAAATCTTAATTACCGTATATTGGGTATGTGCCTGCTTCAGATGGATTAATACGGAAATAGAAAACTGTGGCCTTCCTGGTGATTTTCTGGACTGCAATTCCCATACCCTTTACCATTGGCTATACTGGCTAGAGTTGATGGAAGTTTGGAGTTCAACAGTATATATATGGTCACATGTTTTCACTCAGTCTTAATATATTTTGTGGTAAAAGTAAAATGCTACATTTCCTCACTTCTTGGCTATTGAAGATCCCTCTTAAGATCTTATTTTAAAAGGTCTGATATTTGAAATACTAGAGCTCATCAAACGCAAATTATTTGCACCCTTTGAAAGCCTAGTGCCAAGACTTGAGATTATTTAATTCCTAATGCCAGATTCTCCACTGCCTCACATCTTGTGTCTGTGCATATTGAACATAAATTGACACCGTTTAGTCTACACAGTGACAGATACTTGCAGAAGTTGCAATGCACTTGAGAATTAGCCCGTGTTTCTGGAATGCTGAATGCTTTGCTAGCTCAGGCCTGTAGTTAACATAAGAAGCGAGTCAATTAAAGTGACCTTCTTGATCTCTGGGTGGGTAAAGCAGATAATGGTACTTAAAAACAAACTAATTAATATAGGGTGTTTATAACAAATATTCCAGGGTCTTCACATTTCTCTTCAACTGTTGGCAGTTTACACAGAGACCTTAGTTTACAGACATGAAGGCTAGTGTTTACTTTTGTCCACTTAAACTGCCAACAATTGAAGAAGGGAGTCTTTGAGTTTGCTATTTGTTCTATATAAATTACCAGCAGCCTCATCGCCAGCGTTGCTTGGGAATTACCCAAAAAATCAATGTTGTTTTGAAATCAGAGTTTTAAATCACCACAGTTTTGAAAGGTTCAGTCTTGATTCAAAATGGTGTCCAAGTATATCTGAACATGGACAAAAACCTGCTCCTTGAACTCAAGAACCATAATGCCAAATTTGGTTGTGATTTCATAAAAGGTGTCCAAATGCATAGCAAACAACAAACTACTTTCCAAAATATACAGTAGATGTGCATAGGTCAAAATAAAGCTTCCCTTCCCTTTCTTCTGCTGATCATAGGTTTTTCTGGTTCTCAATATTTTCAAAGCACCTTCCTTTGTTACAAACTTTATTGGCATCCAATATCAGTGAAATTTGTGTGTATGCTAATATGTTATGTAAGCACTTTCTGGACCAACAGAACTCGTGTGGTTCTCTTCCAATCCTAGCTGCTTTTGAAGAAATAAAAATGGTGAGTTGCATGACAGCTAGTATGTTCACAGCCCATGTCCATTAAAAGACAAAAAACAAACCTGAGTTGGCCACAACAGGAGGGAGGTTGATGTTGAGCAGGGGCAGCCAAAATACTGCCCTTCAAATGCTTGGGACTAAAAAACCCATTATCCTTGACCATTGGCTATGCTGGTTGGGCATGATCAGAGGTGCAGTCTAAAGCATCTGGAGGATGCCAGCATCTGGAGAATACACCTCTGGTGTAGAGGAACAGAAGTCAACTGTTTTTCCTGATTCAGTGGTAAACAGCGGGTTTTGCCAGGGAATGTGATGTGGCAAATGGAAAACCTCTAGGAACCATGTTTTCTAGGTACGGGGCAAGCACGAGTGTGGATGAGCCCACAGTTGATAGAGGTTGGAGGAGAAAAGGGGAAGAAGGTCTCGGTTAAGTGTGGTCGGATTTGAGGTTTTAATGAAACATTATCCTCTCTTCCACATACTGACAGCGCTGCTTATAAGCAAGCATATGGATGTGCTTTAAAGAGTATGCAAATTATAGCTTTATAGTTAATAAATCACTTTAGAGGGTGATGAGAAGATTAAATTAGTGACTCTGAAAAGGAAAGCTATTCACTGTTTGCACCACCAGCAGTAATTTACTTAATTCAGCAGTCAGACATACAGCCCCAGGCCCAATCCGTATGATACTTATACTTCAACCACCCACACATAACCTCATTACGGAGGGTTACGTATAAGTGCCTCTGGCTAGCTTACAAATGTGTTATATATTTTTTTCAAACTGAGGACCCTATGGGGGAACTATATAGTGTTAGATATAATCTCACAGGTATTTGGAAAAATATGTTTAAATTGAGAGGAGGAGGGGAAATAATACTGGATTTTTAAAACCACCTTTCCATATCAATAAATGAATGTGGTTATTAGCGCAGACAGGCAACATTTGCAAAATGTGCCTCATACTTTCTTAGGCATTGCCTGAGCTTCAGATTCCCAGACTCTCACTGATGCCAGATAAAAGGCACATAACTGCCTACGAGCTTGAGGCTATATGCGCTTGAAGAATTTTATCCACACTTGCTTCCAAATTAATTCAAACCCAGCTATGCCCACCTAAGGCTTTTTTATGCAATTATGAGCATGCTCTTACTCGTATTCCTGGAACGTTAACATACACAGCACCCTGAGGGTCAGCTATCTCATTGGTCTCAGGTGTATCTGTATAGAGCAAAATGTATGGACTGCACAGTTTTCCCACATGAAATTTCCCAAGCAGTTTGACTCAAGTCAACCCCATTAAGAACCCACCTACTGGGAGCAAGCAGTAGCTTCTTGATTCTTGCTTCACAAGGTGACGACTTCTCATACTTCCAAATTAGTACATATACTGTAACATTTTCTCATGCAGGTGTACCCTGAGGACTGTTTTCCTCCTATGAGTCATGACTTGGTGTTGGGAGTCATGAACTGATAAATATACATGAACAAACATAACTGGAGTTTTCTAATTGGTACAGTGTACATCATTGGGTTCGGATAACAGAACAACTGCATAGTAGCTTCACTGAAAAAGGTACAAGTTATATTAAAATGCTGCTGATGTACCTGAGAATAAGCTGGCACCAAACAGTCAACCTCTTGAGAAAAGTCAAGATTTATGCTCGGCTGTTGCAATATAATATCCCCTCCCCTTCAATTTGAAATGTATAAATCTGTTTTTCTGCTAATGAGCAGAGACCACATCTTGTTTTCCCTTTAGCTGCACTGCGCATCATGTCTTGTTGTGAACTGCGGAGATAAAAGCACTTAAGTGTTTAATCTGAAGCAGAGAGAAAACTGAACATGACAGTTTCATGCTGCTTCACACAAATTCTAATATATACATCATGTTTTACTGCAAGCTAGTTGATAGTGCATTAGCCTGTCAGAAGTGTGGAGGCAATAAGACACCTACAGATCAGTTGCTAAATCCAGAGGTTAAACTTGGTATTCTTCAGATAGCTAGACTTTTGAACCTTATTACAGTCCTTTCTCTTTTCACCATGGAGATGATATGTACTTAATAACAATATGTAATTTTAATTAGGCTCAAACGTATGAAGGCTTATTAATGACTTTAGGATTAAGGCTAGAATATCAAGTGACCGAAATGAAATTGTTGACCTGGTTTCCTGATTTCAATATTTTTTTAACAAAGACTTTTTCTAGTATTGGAATTTAGGAATCAGGGATTGTACCACTGGGATAACTTCCACAGGAAACCTTATCTCAATGTGGGGAAAAGATGTGAGTAAATACTGTATTCATTCTGCCAAAAATGTAGTTCTATTGGATCTACTATATTTTAAATTATTTACATAATTCATTCATCCAGCATGAGATTTTCAAAAGACTTTTTAATTATTTGCTGTATGCATTTTTAACTCTTATAAGATATGTTTACTAATGTGAAATTTACATTATATACTGTATGTATGTACAATTTCAATCCTGCAAATTCAAGGCAGCAGCTGAGTTGCTGTTTAGCTGCATACTCCTTAAGACCGTTCCTTCTTGTCAATTATTGAAACTGCAGCTTCTGATGCAACTGTTATTTATACAAGTTTTACTAGGAATGAAAGTTAACATACAATAGATTTTTCCAAAGTTAATAACTGATCCCATTGGTTTCAAGGGGATTTGAGACTGCTTAACTTTGGCTGGATTTTCTCTATAATAATTTATATCATTGGTTCAGGCAAGAGACCCTAAATAATGGCATAATGGTAATATTATTGCTTCCCACGGATTATTAATTTACGTAGTTTTGAGAAATGTATGCCTTATGGGTTGGTCCAATTAGTTACTCAGCTAGCAGAACAATTTATAGACTTGGGCTGGAAAATATTTTGTTTGTAAACATCAGATTAATCTGTTCATGTCCTAAGTACTTTGATTTTTAAAAAATTGTTTGTTTGCTTGCTTAATAAATAAAATTTATACACTGCTTGATTGTAAAAAATAAATAAAGTGAGTTACAAAAAAGATAGCTAGGAGGAGGGGCTCTTGTGGGGGCCGGCGAAGACCTCTTCAACTACCTGTGAATGCACTAAAAGCTACTGTAGGTTTGGGGAACCAGTGACTCTCTAGCTGTTACTGGACTATAACTCCCATCATCCCTGACCATTGGCCATGCAGGCTGGGGTTCATGGGAGTTGGAGTTCAACACATCTGGACGGTGTCAGATTCTTGAACTACAGGGAAATAATTCATGAG